GGTTTGACTGTACTGTGATACCAAGGTATTTAACCGAGGTTACAGATTTTAGTGTATGATTATTTAAGATGTAGCTGTGCTGTATAGGATTTTTTTTTGTGTGACAGATAGCATAGTACATGTATATGAATGGAAAGCCATCAGCAATCACTCTCCCAACTAGCTGCCGAGTCTAGATCTACTTGGAGTTTATCACAGTCACTCTGGGATCTGATCGATCTGTATATTATGCTATCATCTGCGAATAGCCTGAGCTTACTGTTGGTCAAGTAGACTGGCAGGTCATTAATATATACCTTGGTCATGTGTTCGCTCGCAGCTTACAAAGAAAATGTAATAAGCTTATTTTCAAAGTGTTTGTATGTTTGACCACTGTTTTCCTCATCTCCCTGAACATTTGAGTTGGAACGAATTGATCAAGTGTCTTTGGACGAATTGGTTTGTACGAATCGGAGTCGGAACGAATCATCCAAATTCCTTTAAGTTTTGCGGGATTGTTTTACCATAAGTTTCAAACATAAATACAACGGAGAAATTACACATATTAACCTTTGAGACCTTCATTTCTTCTTTTTTTCTCGTATAACCAGTTCGTTCTACTTTTATCAGCTGCACAGAAACGTTCTTAAAATTTAAAATCGTTTATTTACGACATGACAGGTGCGCGCTGAATCCATTTTCAGACCTTCATTATTTGAACAATCATATGATTTTAAAAAAAGAATGGTTTTTTTTTGTATGTTATCACATGGCGAATTATTGATAAAGTAAAGAACATATATCCACGGTCGGCCCAACTGAATTTTAAGCAATTTCATGAAATTGAAGATTTACAAACCAAACGTATTCGGAAGAATATATAGTAAGCTATGATCGTTTAAGTTAGATCTTTTTACCTCAAGCAGGTGCATCTAGTTTGCCTTATGGAAGTACACCACTAATTCATGGCCCCATTGCTTTCTATGTTAAATTCCTCAATTTCAAGCAGGCACAGCTCTTTTGTTTTTATTTCAAATAAAGTGACAATCATTGCATGTCAAAGCAACACTTTATGGTGTCTTGAACTGAACAAATCAACACACCTTTAACGGCATATAAGAGAGAACTGGTTCCCGGAACTTCGGATGTACCAAAACAGGTACTTCAGATCTGGCGAACAGGCAAAATATACCCTCCTTTTAAAATTTCATGCAATTATTTTATTATTCAAAATTATAAGTCAAAAAGTGTTCTGCAATGATAACCAATCATTCAGCTTTCATTTGATACCAAAATTACCTAAATATTCTCGTACATCGTGTATTTTGAAAGTTACACCCATGCGTAGGAACTATTTTGTGTTAAATATGTACTACTTTCTGGTATGTGCTTTCTGGCCGGGCCCGAATTACTGGTGTTACACCTTATACGTGACATCTCCTTTCACTCATCATTATTTAAAGTCATATGAAACGAGTTTCGTGTTATTACAATGTTAAGGAAATTATTAAACCAATGCATGTAAACTAAGATCTCTATGCACGTTTTTATGCATTTATTACGAATCCATAATGAATGATCGACCAAAAAATGTTGCATTCAGTGATTGTTGATCGGAAAGTTTAACTGATAATTTACTTTTGGGTTTTATTGATGAAGTTTACCGAAATTAACACTATCTACCTTCTAGTGCACGTTTGCTTACCTTTTCTTTCATCACGGTTTTCCCTTGCACTTGTGCTGTGCGCTTGATGAAGTTCTAACGAAAGTTCTCATGGTTAAGGTCACTGCATACTGAAAAGCTATTTGCGAATTAGAGTATGGGTTTCAATAGATGTTCTGATGAATTATAATTTCTTTTGCAATAAAGTCCGTGTATACTTGTTTTATAGTAAACTAAGCCATTTAATGATATAACACTTTCAACTATTCTTTTTACATTGTAATTGAATAATCATATGACTTTAAACAATAAAAGTTTTTTTGTGTGTGTTATCACATGGCTAGTTTAAGTTAGGTTTTTTCCTCAAGCGAGTGCATCTAATTGGGGTCACAAATATACAGGACTTGAAATTAATGGAAAATTTGAAAATATCATAGGCGGTAGGCTGAAACCTACGGATGCCGATAAGGACCATTAAAAAAAAAAGGTAAGTCGTAATTACGACATAGCATGTCGTAATAACGACATCGCTTTGTCGTAATTTCGACATAACATGTCGTTATAACGACATCGCTATGTCGTAATTCCGACATAACATGTTGTTATTACGACATCACTATGTCGTAATGACGACATAGCTATTTCGTAATAACGACATCGCTATATATATATATATATATATATATATATAAGAATATGTATTACGATTGCCAAGAGACTTAATGACACATAAATTAACAACTATAGGTCATCATAATGCCCTCAGTAATGAGAAAAGCCCCCGCATAGTCAGCTATAAAAGAGGGACGAAAGATACCAGAGGGAGAGTCCCCGACATGACAGCTGTTTAATAATTTAATTCAAACCAGTGAAAATAACGGTTTTAATAATGTACAAACAAAGACCGAAAAACGAATATGTAACTCAGCAACAAATGACAACCACTGAATTACAGACTCCTGACCGCTATGTGAAAATAACGGCAACCTTATAGTTTAACTTTTCACTTTTTGATGCGATAGGCATTTCAAAATGGTTGTCAGTAAAGGCAAAGTTTGTAGCGGAAACAAATTCATCTTTTTTTTTTAGAATAATGAACACTATATGCAATCAAGCTTAATTAAAGTTATTCACTTGAACCTCAGACTTGCACATACTAGAACTTTATTTATAATCAAGTCAAATGAGACCCAGTTGAATAGGGGAGCAATTCAAGCTCCTTGGAGCCTCTAATTATGTTTGACATGTACAGATTTGTGTAAATTATGAAGTCCTGCATTTCCATTGCAGGTTCTGAATAAGATGAATTTTAAGCTTTTCCCAATAAAGACTATGTTAAACTTTGGACTCATAGTGCTCAGAACCACGGATCTCTGTACCTTCATTTGTACACACTTGAATCTTAATGTACAGTAACTACTGAGGCTTGATGCAAATTATTACTGCATTGCTATTGTTGGTTCTTAATGAGATTCTTCAAGCGTCCTCCCCATTGAAGGGTTAATATCCCTGAGGTTAGAAACCATTTATTTTCAGTTTTCTCTCCAATTTTGATGTTTTTTCGTCTTATTTGGGGCCTACAGAGGTTATCAAGGCTTTGGGATACGCTGGTTTGTTCACAAACGCAACTCTCCACAAGAAACCAAATGACACAGAAATTAACAATCATAGGTCACCGTACGGCCTTCAACAATGATCACAGCCCATACCGCATAGTCAGCTATAAAAGGCCCAGAAATGACAAATGTAATACAATTCAAACGAGAAAAACTAGCGGCCTATTTTATGTACAAAAATAAACGAAAAACAAATATGTAAATTAAAGACTTGGGACAGACACATACATTAAGAATGTGGCGGGGTTAAACATGTTGGCGGGATCCCAACCCTCCCTCTAAGTTTGTAGGAATAGTTGTCCTGGGGAACAGTGGTTAAAAGAACTTGGGGTACAAAGTTTTAATAGGGCTTCAATGGGGAGGACGCTTGAAGAATCTCATTAAGAACCAACAATAGCAATGCAGTAATAATTTGCATCAAGCCTTAGTAGTACATTAAGATTCAAGTGTGTACAAATGAAGGTACAGAGATCCGTGGGTCTGAGCACTATGAGTCCAAAGTTTAACATAATCTTTATTGGGAAAAGCTTAAAATTCATCTTATTCAGAACCTGCAATGCCAAACATAATTAGAGGCTCCAGGGAGCTTGAATTGCTCCCCTATTCAACTGGGTCTCATTTGACTTGATTACTAAATAAAGTTCTAGTATGTGCAAGTCTGAGGTGCTAGTGAATAACTTTAATTAAGCTTGATTGCATAAAGTGTTCAATATTCTCAAAAAAAAAGATGAATTTGTTTACGCTACAAACTTTGCCTTTACTGGCGACCTTTTTGAAATTCCTATCGCTTCAAAAAGTGAAAAGTTAAACTATAAGGTTGTCGTTATTATCAGATAGCGGTCAGGAGTCTGTAATTCAGTGGTTGTCATTTGTTGCTGTGTTACATATTCGTTTTTCGGTCTTTGTTTGTACATTATTAAAACCGTTATTTTCACTCGTTTGAATTAAATAATTAAACAGCTGTCATGTTGGGGACTCACCCTCTGGTATCTTTCGTCCCTCTTTTATAGCTGACTATGCGGGGGCTTTTCTCATTATTGAGGGCATTATGATGACCTATAGTTGTTAATTTCTGTGTCATTTGGTCTCTTTGCAATCATAATACATATTCTTTTATATATATAGCGATGTCGTTATTACGACATAGCTATGTCGTAATTACGACATAGTGATGTCGTAATTACGACTTGTTATGGCGAAATTACGACATAACGATGTCGTTATAACGACATGTTATGTCGAAATTACGACATAGCGATGTCGTTATTACGACATGTTATGTTGTAATTACGACATAAAAATTTTTTTTTGAATGGCCCTTATCGGCTTCCGTAGAAACCTCTTTTGGTAAGCAGTTGTTCGTTTTATCTTTCTACTGTCAAATAAATTATTATACATTAAATGTTTAAAATGGGGTTTAAATTGTTTAATTGGTTTAGTTGCTTTGTAAACAAGAATCTGAGAATTTTACCTCAATTTGAAGAAGAGTTTTGTTTGTCTTGTTTTGACTAACATTCAGCATATATGTGGGGTTAAAAATACTGGGACATTACATAAATAACGTGATAAAACATTATACTAGATTACGCTCATGATGATTGGAGATATCAAATAACATAATTACTTACAAAAAACTCATTCTTTTGTATCTTTACTAGCAACTCGTGTAAATTAGAATAACAATTTATACGGTTCAATGTTATATTTTTCACCAATCTGTTCAGTTCTGTAGTATCTATTTTAGGACCTAGAAATACAATAACATGTAGGAAAAGTTTATTTTAATGTTTATAATTGTATGCATGATGTATTTGAGCGACATATTTTTAAAGGTGTTGAAGTAACAAGTGTAAATTCAAAGAAACATAAATGTGATTTCACATTTTGTTGAGTTTAGTACAATGGAAAATGGTACAAGTAAAAAAGATCTTTCTTTCGATGACATTTATGACTGGAGTATAAAAAAAGCAAAAACGTACTGCGACCAAACAGTTTTAAAACAGGAGTATCCAGGGGATGGTAAGTATATATAATTTTTTATGTTTTTTTTTTCAACTCTGGAAGGATATAATGGTTTTTTTTATATTCAAAAGTGCTAGTTTATTGTTATAGGTCACGTAAAACGTAACACCCTTACCTATGTATTAATTTGATCAAGTTTAATCCATTTAAAAGTTGAATTGTAGATGTCCAAAAAATGCACTAAACGGCTGGAAAATCGTATTTGCTGATGCGGTACACATGTGCACAAACTACATTAATTGGTCGAGTGCTTGGTAGATCGTCTTGTGCCAAAACATATCATTTCTTCATCACTTTTTTTTGTGCTTTTTTCGGGCAATTTTTATTATATATGCTGAGAAAAACTTCGTTGTGAAAACTGAACAGAATGTGTTTAATAATTAGAATATTTGGTTAATAAATCCAGATAATTTTATCAATTATATAAAACGATCCTAGGAAATCCAGTAAGAACCCATGGCCTATATGTAATTTATTATTTGAGAATATTGAAGATTGAACGGTATCCTGTTTCATTAAAATACCGAAAAGTAATCATTAAAAATTAATAAGTTAAGTCATTTTTGACTATTGCATCCCAACACATCCATAAAATTTTGTGTTTCTGGACACTATCTTGAAACTTCAAACAACCACATATACCAAACCTAAAGGACTTAAAACACAAGCAGCTGTACACAGAATTTGGATAAAAAGTTTAACGGATGGGTGGATAGATGGCTGTTTAGCGGATGTGTGGATGGATGGCTGTTTAACGGATGGGTTGATGGATGGCTGTTTAACGGATGGGTGGATAGATGGACGAGAGCATGGTAATATGATATGAATATAAACCCTGCATTTTACAAGACCGACACACAGCCGGATTTTTAATGTGCTAGTTCACAAGGTAACAGTCCCCAGGGAGACATGTCACCCTACCCGGAGACGTTATTCGGAAGTTGACTCCGACCCGACCAATCTTTGCTCTCCTAAATACCGCGTGCTTAGCGGTGAAGCAGCAAATATCAATGTTCAAGTCTAGATTCACGCGACCGGTGTTAATAGCCATTCCCCTCCCCCATAATAATAAGCAGTCTTATCTGGACGGCATATATAAAAATATATAAAGAAATCATATCCAAGGACACATCATTCAAACATTCCTATAACCATCCGACAAAACTCATTCTTCATGTGGACTTCAACTAGAACACGTGTTGACCATTGGGCCTTACGATCTACTAAAAAAAGTCCCGCAACACATACCAAGGGTTCACAGAGGAGAATAGATGTGATCACCACATCACACTATGCTTCATATATATATATATATATATATATATATATATAAATCATCTGGTATTGAATCTATGATGATACGATGATAGTGTGGTAACGAAAAATAATTAAAAGAATGGTTACTATCTTTAAATGAATGATTAATTTCCAAGTTACGTCGTCGACGTTAATAAAAGAGGGGGAAATGAGCTTCTTCTGCTACTAGAGGGGGAAAATAGGCTAGATCATGGTTTTCCCCCCATTACACTAAAGGGGAAAACTGGGATCATGACAATTTTTCCTGGGGAACTAGTTTTCCCCCGGAAAGATTGGCATGGGGGAAAATGGCTATAGGACATCGGGGTTTGAATCAACGACCTCCCATACTCGAGGTGAGCACGCTACCACGAGATCACCGAGTCGGTAAGAGAGTTTAAAGATGTGTGCCTCAAAAATCCATAATAATATTGTGGTGTAAGAATCATTATTTTTTTTACTCTCGAGATTTGCTATGTTTTATTTGGCATTTTAGATTTTATAGGACAAAGTTTTTATAAATTCATAATATTTAGCCTGTTTTACATGTAAAATGAATGCTTTCAAATATAATGATTTTTACGCGCAAATGTAGTGCATCGTAATGGACAAACACCAATGATACCTAATTTGTATATTATTACCAAACACAGACAATTTATATCAAATACTTTTTGAATCATTATTTGAACCTTTTTATCCATACGTTGTTGTAATACCAGATGTTACAAAATACAAAATCAAGGATATACCTGGAGGAATCATTTAAACAACCAGTAATCTGAATGTACATTAATTCTGCAATCTGTTAACTATTATCACTAATTTTAACAACTTTAACCAGTGTATGGCGTAGCTTTCTTTAAGGCAATGAGGCAACATTCTTGCCAAAGGTTGGACCTCAAAAACAAAGAGAATGAAAAAGAAAGATAAAATGTATTCCATTGTTTAGAGTGAGGATGGATCCAAACATTTTACTGTTCTACTCTTTACACATGCATTCCTCGTTATTGACTTTAAGACAGTAAAATAATTAGCCTTACTTCGTTTCATAAATATGACCATGGTTGATACAGATTTTTTAGGAACGGGCAAATTGTAGATCCTTAAATCACAGAATCTGTACAAAGCATTTTCGATGTGATCTTGTTTTTGTCAGCTATTTTTTTAAATTTTTTTTAGTTAAGACCTAATTGATCAATTTAACCAGCATAATAACATTAAATGTGCATTAGAATATCATCAATTCAAGATAAAAATTCTACAAATCCTGATTTTTCAAAACCAAGAGCTTTGCATCAATGTGAAACCACCCTAAGCCCCATTCTTTCCTTAAAAATAGAAAGAGAAGAGAAAACAACACGGCAAGTGAAATTTAAAGATGAAAACCACTACATAATCTATACTAAGACATTCAATTACAAATGAACACAAAGCTTAAATGTTAAAGTCCGGGAAACAAAAGTATACCAACCTGAAACAAATGGATAAATACTGTCATATTCCTGATACGATGAAATCCCTTTTAGGATTAGAGTTAATACAAGTTATCTGCACTAAAAGCCTACTAGTACCACAAGGTTCCAAGGTTAAAATATCTAAAACAATGTCAAGTAATTAAACATGAAATATAAATTAACAATTATAACTATCTATACGCAGTAAAATTTTATTAGAAATAAAATAAAATAGATTTTCCTATTTGTGTGATTGTTAACATTCCCCTTAAAGTAAAGTAGAAAGTGAAATAAGAACTATTATAGAATAATAATATTAAAAATATCAAGCTTGAAGTTGGGATTATGTTTTAGAACTGAAACATTTAAAACCTATAGAAAGTAAGGACAAGTTTATTTTTAGCATTGATAATAGGCCCTTGTAAACATGATTGAAGTTGTATGCATGTATCAATAATTGTTCACAAGCTTTGCTAACTGCATTACTTAATATTCCCTGTACATCTATTTTTGGACTTAAAATGTATCCGTTTTATTGCTTGAATTATCACACAGTACACGCATACTTAAAGCAATTATAATGATAAATTGTCCGTATAGCATTGAAATATATGCATCATTTTCAATATATTGAATGTTTTAGTGCACTCAAAATGAAACTTCAGATAAAATAAATAAAGTCTAATAATTTCAGATTTTGTAGATTACAAGCAAATTTGAATAATATGTATATAACCACTTTGATTAAGCTTTACTTTGCAGTATAACTAGTTGTAATCTGGTCCATTCGACACGTCATGTAAACTTTATGAAACTAAAACTTAATACCCGTGAAGTACATTATAAATGATTTATATCACCAAGTATACTTGCCGAAATCATGTATCAAATTGTCTTAAAAGCATGGTACACAATGTATATATATATACATGTTATGTACTAGTTGTATTGTTGTATAAATTATAATTGATACATAATTCATGTACAATTAACCAGTATTTTGCAAACCTAAATATCATAATTGGATAAAAGCAGAACAACCTGATGTAAAATGGCGTCTTATTCTGTGCTGATTAACAGAAATCTTGGCCATACACTGGCAAATTTTGCTCAGGTGAATTTCACATGTGAAACTCACCTCAAACGAGCTTGTACGTGAAACTCACGTGAAAATATTCACATGAATCTCTTGTGAAATTGTTCACGTGAATTTCACATGAACATAAAAAAAGGTATTGTTCATGTTTTTAATCAAATTTGAATAACTTTATTTTGAAAATTCACGTGAATTTCACGTGAAAAATTCATTTGATTTTCACATGAAATTTACGTGAGTTTCACATTAGATTCACGTGAAACTCATGTGAAATCAGTATACGTATAAGCTCGTTTGAGGTGAAATTCACGTGAATTTCACATGAGATTCACATGAATCTTAATTCACGTGAGTAAAATTACCCTGTGTAATACAAACTAAAAACGAAAACAACGCTTGCAGAAAACTTAGACTTGCATAATTATAATATCTTGGAAGTTCATGCAAATTAAGTATTTACAATAGACAAGACAGTGTATATATTCATCACAAATGAAACAACACAATCCAGCGGCTTTGTTAAGCACTGTGCGATTTGAACTTCTCCTTTTCATTGATTCCATTTGGTGCCCACATTTTTTCCCTTTCTTGTCCAAGTCTTTTCCGAGTGTATATCTTTCCTTCTAGACTACGCACTGTTGTGGTTGATGATTGTCATACAGATCTGTCTTAATGTGGTCAGAAGCTCACAAATGGCGACTAATAGGAAGGGTTGGCTCAGTCTCTATAGTTTCAGTCTATGTATATTTTGTGAAATTGTTTGTCTTTCGCTTTATTATGACATGGCTTTGTTAGTTTCTTTCGTGTTATGAGTTTTGAATGTCTCCTTGGTATCTCCTGACTCCTTTTAAACCTACAAACGCATTTTTATAGATGTGAGTAATTCCAACGATTAAAGAATTGATGGTTAGCTACATGTTATTTCCAAAGTATAGCTTCGATAATTCATTCTTAGATTTTTTCGTGTTTACTTTCTTTGAATTGAAGGTAATAAATATCCAAATATGCAAGAATAATATCAAAAACAAAGAAAAGTTAATACCTTGAAATACAATATTATTGTCACATCAATAATTGTGCATCGTCTGAAAATTCTTTGATCGTTGACCTCAATTATCTTTTATTCAAATGCATTTTTAGGCAGTCAT